CACCCCTCCCCTTACACCCTCCTACGTATCCACCCACCTACCCACCCACCACTCACCGCCACTCAGGAAAGAGCTGCGTGACCCTTTCTTCCACCCCCTGCGCCGCCACAAGTCCCCCAGCATCGTAAGGTTTGAACCCCAGCTGCCTGGCCATGTCCATCACAACCTGTTTGGGTCCGCTGTGGTCAGAGGCCACGGGCACCAGCCGGGCAGAACCGTCCATGTCCACCTCCATGGTGTAGGCGGAAGTCACGCTGTGGGGATCGCGGAAAGAACTTGTTCAAATCCCATTAAAGTGTGAAAATGACTTAGGTTTTATTCCCTTATCAAGACTATTATGTTATTAAAAAGGCAGGACCTCCGAGTTTAGCGTCCATCTCCAAATGGACGGAGCCAAATGGAAAATTCGTGTAAAGTGCATTTCCCCATGACACAACGTCGGACCGAGGTGAGGCTCAACCCTCCGAACCCGCAATCTCACGATTACGAGTCCGGCAGCATAACCACTAGGCTACTGACGAAACCAAGTGTGCAATAATGCGCCATACATAACACATTGGTTGCACTGTTGGGCAAGTATTAAACAAAGCGCCTTATATTGACCAGCTGTAAACGATAAACGAGCTGTACAAAAACATAATTTATAGAGTACCTTCGAAGACGGAAAGTGGCTGCCTGAAGGGAAGGGATCTTAACTAGTGGGGAAACGGTCACATTCGTCAACATTGGATGCACTGCAGGTTGAAGAAGGACGGGTTTTTTTGTTTTTTAAAAAAGAAATGTTGCATTTACTAGATTTAAATAGGGCGCAGTTTTGTGTCATGTACACCAAATGAGACACATTTTGTTTGAACGTGCATGATTCACCCACGAAACCCCGCGAGACCCCCCAGACCCGTGAACTTTAGCGATCACGTCCAACTGAAAAGGTCCACAGTGTGTGGTAAAGGTGCTAAAGTTATAAAAACACAGCGGCTTTTTGTTAAGTTAGAGTTATTAATGTTAGAAAAATGTGCAAAATGATTAATAGGCTGTCCGTGCCCTTGAAGATAAAAGTGATCTGTCTTCCCTTTGGCTCATGGCTCCGTCACACCTCTGAGTCCGAGAAAGGTAAAACATTTGAGCGTTTATTTTAAAGGTTTTCTCAATGTTGGAATGAAAGTAATATTATTCGTAGTTCTATTATCTTCTTTATGAACATGGAGAATTTCATTTTCTCTTAAAAGCAAACAAACTCAAACTCTTAGTCTCCCGAGTGCACATGTATAATATTATACTCACATGGGATATAAAGCTATATGAATGCAATCTATCATTATTATTATCATCATTGCTATTATTATTATTATTATTATTATTATTAT